ACTTGGTATAGAGTTGCAGAGTTAAATGAGAAACAGTAAGGATTTGCCTTCAGCACAACCTCTATACAACTGATACCTTTGGATCTAATCTGGTTACAAGTTCATATGGGATATTATCACTCAGACTAGAAGTATTTCCATAGATATCTTGAAGTAATAAGTATATTGGGAAACTTGAATTACCAAAACTAATTCCACTCCTATGTCTTGTCACAAATTGTGGGCAAGTTTAAGCACAGTTTGTGTAATTTTGTTGGAACACATTTCATCCTTCTAATTTGCATACTTGTGATTTTAAGTGGCTCTGTCAAAAAAGGCTGGTTGGAAAGGTTGCACCCCTACCATGCATCTATTTTCAGTCCTCTCATCTCCTCACAGTGAGCTGCTGTCAGCCCTCCAGACATCCCATCCAAATGATTGCTATCCTACTGACACTTGCCAATTCCTTCTGAGCCATGCAATTACTTTGATATCAGTGACTGTTAATCAAAACAAAATATTTTCTGCTTAGCCTTCTTTAATCTACAATCTTAAAAATAGAATGCTGGCAGACATTACAAACATTTTGCAGAAATGCAACTCAAGGAATTGAGGATTTTTAGAAAGAACTTTGTTTACGATCTTGCTGAAGGAGATGAACCACATTGGAATCAAACTTAGGAATCCAAGGGCTGCCACTGGAGTTATTTGCTTCCCCTGGGTTCAGCTCTATGTAATCTATGCTTTCCTTATCTCTTCTTGTGTTTTCTTCCTCTGCAGGTGGATTCTATTTTCTCCCTTTTAGAAAACTAAGATAGAAAGTGCCTGCTTTATAGGATTCTGTTGAATTTTTTCAGAAAGAAATTGATTTCTGTTTAGGAGCGGGGAGAAAATAAAAAGACACAAAAAAATTTTAAAAAAAAATATTAAAAAGCAAGACAAAGACAGAAAAAAGCCTTACATTTTTCCATTTTGGCCACATTCCAAGTGATCTAAAGAGTCTCTTTACAATTAGATCAGAAACAAAAACCCCACAAGCCCTAGATTCCAAAGGGAGTATTTTTTCCATCTTTTATTGTCAGATGACTCCTCCTTCAAAGCATTTCTTTCTCTCTCTTCAGAAAAGCCACTGCTCCCAACAGAGGAAGAAGTAGCCATCAGTATTAGTAATAATAAAAGCTATTATCCAGCTTGATTGCATTTGGGAAGGAAGTAGATTTTCCCATTTGTTCATTCTGATGGGTATAGAAGGCCAATATGTGGCTTATCAATGTCTCCATGGTTCTCTGACAGAAAACCAATCCAGCAACACTTCTGCTTGGTACAGAATGAATTCTGCTGAGCTATGTTGTCTACATTCCCTCATGTAGGAAAGATGCTCTTTTCTCTTGATATTGCTGTCATTTCACTTACCAGTGCTTCCATGGCAGGCACTTCTTTTCCCATTACAGACCATAGGCTACCTGTTCCCTTAGCACCTGACCCCAAGAAGTGCCAAGAGCTTAATTCTTATTATTCTGAATTTAGGACCTTTATTCTTTGCACAAATGTTGTGAGGAATCTTTTGTGATAGATGGAAAGTACCACAGATACAATTTTTCAGATAACAGATAAGGCAGCCTCATACAGGAAGATCTGCACTGTTCTGGTGGGGTTGGAATTTCTCATGTTTTACTGCAACAACTCAAATCCAGAGTTTTACCCACTAACTGACCTCCTCCACCCAAATCTTTGAAAGGGATGGGTCACTTATATGGGCCCTTACCAGCAACAGCAATGTTAAAGGAAGCTGGGTCTCTTCTTGATTACTTTGGAGTGAAAATTGCTGCCATAAGCATTATAATTTTGTACAAAATTACAGGGGTAAACTGAAAAGAAAAAAAAATTACTGCTTATCATCAGCATACTGGGAAAGAGGATCTCAACACAGTGCATAAGCAGACCCAAGAGCACCTCAGTAAGAGGATGGGAGCCAACCCTGCAATCGGCTTTGGGTCCTGACCAAAACTACAAAAAGGAAAACAGAACAAATGAAGCTCTAAGCCTGACACTACACCCACCTGTTTTATGCCCTTTTCCCCTCTCAGTTTCAACTGGAGAACATACTTTTGCTCCAATCTTTGATTTGCACAGTGCTGTTTGTGCTTTTGTCAATCCAACCAGCTCCAGAAATGACTGCATTTCATTTTCAAGAGCAGCAACGATCACGAACTTCTTCTATTTCAGAAAGATGTTGTGGGGAAATTGGTAGGTTTTAAGATGTTTTTGAATCTGTGAAAAGTCCGAAATGTAACACCACTGAATTGTAAAACATTTTGAGCCTTTTACAATAGCTGTCATCTAAGTGAAATGCCAGGTTGCCAAAACATTGTCCAGTGCAGATACCTCATTTAGTGGTGACATGGGATGGAAAATGCACATCACTGGAGGTTAATGTATCAGAGTCAAAACTCAAAGAACAACAATTGGAATTAAATCATAAAAGAAGAGAGCACAAAAGCAAGTTTTCAAATTCATACCAAAAGTCAATAAAAGCCAGAATCAAGGGTCATCAAAGTACACAAGAGCTGCACAAACACACCCTCACTGAGGTCAGTAATACTGACAACTGACTTCCAGATTCCTCTGAGGTGCAAACTGTTCCTGTTAAAGTTTTGACAGTATGTGTCTTGCCTAACTGCCCAGGGCTCTGAGACTAGAGCAGAAATACAAGTAGCAACAATGCTGTTGAAGATGACAAATGCATCATTCTCAGCTGAGAATTTAGACAGCCTGTAGCTTTTTTAAAGGTGGGAGGAAGCACAAAATGTTACAGCATCACACATCAATCCTGTAAAAAAATAATCTTTGAAAAGAGATGTAAAAGGTGTGCAATTACAAATAATCATGTTCCTACACTTTCAGAGAAAGCATGGAAATAAACACACTACAAGATAAACACATAAGGTGCTCAGTCTCATGGGGAAAGAGGTAATAACTCCAACAGGAAAAAAAAATAGCTACATTAATGCTGTAGACAACAATACATTGTGATTTCTTTAGTACTTGTTTTAATAACACATTAGAAAAGTACTTGATTAAAAGCCAAAAAAAGGAAACATTAGAGCATTCTCAGTGACACAGATGCAGCCGTGTAGTCATGCAGCTGCTGTTTCACAAATTTCATGACACAACACCTTATAGGCCTTCTCTTTCAGCCCTTTCAAGAGCAGCATCTACAATGAGATGCACCAGCAAATACCAGGTTTAAGGGTTTTTTACAGAATTTGGAAGGCCAAGACTATATTCCCAACCCAGTTACAGGCTGTTCCTGAACATGGTAAAACCAATCCAGGTAAGACCACAAAGGAGACCTCAGTGCAGGATGTTCTTTAGAGTTCAAATCCCTTCTCTGGCTGAGGACACATAATCCTTGCTTCTTAGTCTCTCCCTGGTCTACAATGCACAAGGGACACACAGATATTCAGAGTTGCTCTAGATCTACACAGAGACTCTGCAGGTGATTAACGAGCTCTGAAGGGGCACATAGTGCTGCATGACTAAACACACTAGTGAAGAGCCTGCTCAAGGATCACAGTACAGACATGCACATGCCTTCCATTAGAGTGGTAATGCAAAATAAAGCAGTTTCTACAAGACAGACTAAAATAGTTAAATATCCTGTCAGCTAATCAAAGCGTCTCCCCACTTAAACCGAGATCCACATCCCCCCAAGACAGGCTGCCCCCAAGGCAATTATCCCTGTATTATGTGGGGAGATATGCTGGGGATCCAAGTTTGAGGCATACAGTTACTGTGGTAGCAGGAACTCTACAAGTACCTCACGGAGGATTTGAGTAGACCAGCTCCTAATTTGAGACCATTGCCTCCAAGAAGGTTTTGGTATTTTAAAATGATCAACAAAAGTAGGTGGCTGAATACAAATACAGCATTGATGACAAGAGCCACACACAAACTGACAAGTTCTTTTCTCCACTATCATGGTAAGTTAGCTACCAAAACAGTAATCAAGACTATATTTCTACATAAATAAGAACTCCCACTGCCATAAATATGAGATTAGTGTGAGCTAGACATAAATAAATGCAATTCCTACTAATAGGCACATTTCAAGCTGTCAACAGTGATTTGCATATAACACTAAGTAGTATGAAGAGACAGCCATAATCATTCCATATTAATTCAACTTGCAAGATGAAGGTCAGGGGACAAAAAGCAAAGCAAAACTAAAGCCAATACTTATCAGATGGAAAAGAACAAAACCAGTTGGAAAATAATTTTATTTTTCAGACTTCTAAGAAAATTTACAAACAATGGTGGTGTAAAAAAAAGACACCCTATAAAAAAATTGACATTTCTCAAACATTAGCATCAAATAAAGTTACAGAGCAACAAGCGTACAATGAAATTCTATTAATCAAATTAGTATTAGTTAAGTAGCTGAAAATGTAATAAGTAAAGGCTAATAACAAATCTTTACAGCTTACTCAGAAATTCTGTAACAATCCAACATTCTGAGTTTAAATGATACAATACACAATGAATTAATCTCTGCAATCATCTATAGCACTGAAATCAACCAGGTAAAATTACATAGCCAAGACACGCCTTGTGAAGTTTGTAAAGGACCTCTTGAGCACACTGCAGTTACATACAGCAGAAAGCAAAACACCCTGCATGCTTGCTAATTAATCCCTAATGTCTAATATGAAATACAATATAGAAATAATAGAAGCAATATTTAGTGACTCTCTTCATGCTGGTTCTATTCTTCATGCAGAGTGAAACAGAAAGGCTTCCTTGCCCTATTTTCTGTTTGAGCCTTGGGAGTTTCCCAGGGTATGTTCTCCCTATGTTCATCATGGTCCTTGTCATTAGTGGAGCAGGTGGTTCTTAACAAGCCAGTCCCAATCATGAACATCACCATGCCCTCCAAATACGCATGTCTTCATCCTGCAAACTGTCTCCAGCTCTGCACATGCTGAACTCCAACATGCACACACAGCATGCCCAAGCCTAACCTCCATTTGCCAGAGTTTACATAGAGGGCAGAAAACAAACAAATGATTATACCCTTAATTACTGCTGTAGTCTCTCCTCTGCTCAGGTCACTTACTCACTTTAAATAGTAGGCATTTAAAAACCATTAATACAATTTAATTGACAGCTTAACTTGAAATTGCAGAGGAACTCCAAACACTGGAACACTAAAACCTTTTGAACGCAAAACCTGATATCTTCAATAATCCATAAATCAGCTCCTTCTGACCCTAACTGCATCTTTAACATATCCTGTTCAGAGCACAAGGAATAAGAATTATTTTTTAGTTACGGAGTATGGATTTGTGTTTTTACTGAGTTCATCATGAGAAACACCAAAGACACTGTCCTTTAAATACTGCTAAAATCGCTCATCTTGGCAGCTCAGAAGAATGTATCAAAAGGTCATTTTTTCTTTCAAAGTAAAAATAAACTCATGAATCATCCCATTTAATGATGTTTCTTTTCTGACTGCTTACGAATGGATGTCTAAAAGAAAAAAATTAGCAGATGTGCATATCTCATGCTAAAACAAAAAGAGGCTTGCAACACCGTTTATTATTAAATTTGTCTAAATATTGAAAATAACTGGAATTCTTGCCAGCTTATACTATTAGGGCAACTAGAAACACCATGAAACCTGAGATCACTTTACAATAAAAGTCATGGGGATCTATGTTGTTGAAGTCAACAGGTAGTTAAAGTAGTGACATAGTTTAGCTTTTAATGGTTTTGAATATATACAATGGAATATTCACTTTCAGCTTCCTGTCTCCCACAAATATTCAGGGTAAGATTTGATCAATTCATGTCTAAACTGACAATTCGCATCGCCCAGAACCATTTAGACCATGTGACTTAACTGTTCCTCAACCATTTCTTTCCTCGCTGCTCATAAGAAAGCCACCTTTGAGCACTCTGATCCCAAAACAGAGCCCTTCTAGGAATCAGAATGAGGCATTTTTCCCAGGTTCCCTCTAACCCCAGGCAGCAGACACAGGAAGCCATCAGCAGATACACTGCTGTGCATCCCACTGCCCGCACAGCAGAAAGAAATGGGAGGCTGAATCTGAGCTCCTTGCACCCAGCCAAGCTCTGAGAATTGGGCTAGAGGGCTAGTGTGGGCCTTTGGTGCAGATGGCTGGCAAGGATGGTCTTGGAAGATCACTGATCTTACTAATTAATGTAGACAAAACCTTATGAAGCCTTTCACTCAAGGGTCTCCCTACACCCCAAATGCTGCAAGTACATGACAAAGTAACGTCCAAGGTGCTATGACACCGGATATACAAGTGCCTGAGGTAGGCAGCACTTTCTTTTTTTCAGACATGTGAAGGCAGTCAACAGTGCAAATGCATGAAACACTTCATGAGAATAAAATAATCCCTCACATTTATAACCTTTTAATTTGTCTTTCGTCACCTACTATACGCTCAAGCCCTTTTCATAGGTGTGGTTTATGTAATCTCACATCCTTTACTGAATGCACACACTTCAATGGCAGTATTTAATTCCTCAAGAAGTCTCACTTGCTGAATCCTTCACACATTGTCCTTAATCTGAGCATTCATCTAACCTTCTCAACCTTTCAATGGCTCACTAATAAAGCAGCTTTACCCTCCTTCTAGTTCAGCAAAAATATTCATGAAAAAAAAATCTTCTCCAGAATCAATAAAAACTGATACAATTTCTTCATGCAATATATAACTGATGTATAAAGCTTATTGTCATAAAAAGGCAAGAATGTAGCAGGGTTCAGAAAGAATTTATAAGAATATAATAGTAACAGATATTGGTAAATGTGTTTAGAAAGGTATATGAATCTCTGTAGTTTAGGTTTTAAGTCTTTACATGACTGGTGATCCAAAACAATTTTTCCTGCAAATAAACTGTCCTGTTCATGAACTGCAAATGAGTTTATGTGTACGTCCTCCAAAGTATCTATCATTGCCCAGTTACAGCCCTGGATTAGTTGATCTGCTATGAATGGCCATGGTGACTTGACTATTTTGTATTTTCCCAGTGAGAAACTTGGCTAATCTGGCTTCTTGTGCAAGGCATGTTCAGACTACAGTGATAAAGAAAAGAAAAAGATCAATATCAATAAAATAAAAATATCCACTCTGGTCACTTTTAGAGCAGTACATACTATTTCACCTCCCTTCTTTCTTCTTTGTAAAACCAAGACAGAGCAATGCCCGTCACGCTAGCTTGCTATTATATGACAATTTCAGCCCTCCCAGTGCCTGCAAATCTTCTATCTCTTTCACTTACATACATCCAAAGCCAAAATTGGCCAATTTAAAAATAATGACTTGTAACCTATATTGTTCAGTCTTTTCTTGACCAGGCACAGAATTTTGAGAAAACCATATGCTAAGACTCTCCATTTGAGCATAAACAACACCAAAAGTTATTACCCATTCAAAATGTAAAGGAAACAATATTACTTATCACCTACAACTTAGGTAATTTTAAATTAATCATGCTATATTAACTAAAGTTTGTTAACATCTGCTCAGTGTTAGGTATTTACCTTTAGTCCACCACAGATTGGACAAGCTGAAAAAAGAGCTCTTGTCATCCCAAGGTGGGGGCTACATGTGTCACAGGGGTCAGCTGAGGCCCCACTAGGTGGTGACAACTCACTACTTTTGGAGTCTGACACCTGTCCTTGTGTTTTTGTGTCTGACCACCGTGAAACAAAATCCACATATGTCTCATCACTTGAGTCCTTGCTGCTTTCTGCAAGTAAGGGTGAAGGCCTCCCTCTGTCCTGGCTGTGCTCGGGTACCCTCCGTGCTTCCAAGTGTGGTCGTAGCAGTTTTGGGTCACTAGCACCTTGAGGAGATAGAGCCTGGTCCTTGGGTAGTGTGGAATCCGCACTCTTCGGCTGCACATCTTTAGAAGCTGCCTGCAACACACTCCTGGGGATATCGTAAATGTGTCTGAGAGAGCTGGGAACCTGATACTCTGATCCCACACCTCTCTGGGGCTCACCGTGAGGACAAGTACATAAACTCTGATCCGAAGGAAAGTTCAATGGCAAGCTTAGCAATGATCCAAACTCATCACCATGGCAAATATCCAAGCTCCCAGCATAGGAAGAGAAGCTTCCAGAGTAAGAAGAGTGACTACCAGTAGCTATTCCACCGTCGGAAGAACCCTGACGACCTATTTCCTGCAGCTGTCTGGATCGGAGGGGCTTCGGAGGTGGTTTAGTGGTGCCACGTGCCCCTTCTGGAAGGGTTTTTTCTTCCCCAAGATGAATGCCCTTCGCAGCTGCCAGTCCATGGCTCTCTTGAGAGGTGCTGGCCGAAGACTGTTCAGGCCAAACTGTCAATCTGCTCCCAACACTGACGTCTGAGTGGCTGGTATCTGAAGATGAGCTTGAAAGACTCCTATCATCTCCTAGAAAAGAAGAAAACACATCAACCTATGTTTAAAACACAATCAGAAGACTGAAGCATGGCAAGTATGTACAAACAGGAAGGACCCTGGGATTCCATCTGCTTTTTGTAAAGGGAACTGCTGTAAGAAAGCCAGAATTCCTGCAATAACTCATATCCCCACCGGATAAATAAAATTAAATACTATGTTACCTTGCCATAACCCTACCACATTGTGCAACATAATGCATTTAGGGCTAAATTTTTAAAGTTTATCCATCAAGTTCTCCCCTTTCCAAACATATTTTGCTTCCATATAGTTAATTGGGTTACTGTACCAAAATACAACCATACATCATTGTACAAATAAAAATGAGACTCCTGCTGTTATAGAAACATATCTATATACATAAAGATCTTCTGTGATTCCTTTATGCACATATTGAAATAAATTTTTTCCTCACTGATACTTGCAAGAAGTGCACTTTTACAGATAACTACTGCAACCCAGGACAGAATATGGAAGAAAAAAGTTCAACATTTGCATGAGAGAGCATAAGGACAAAACACAAACAAACACAAAAACACTTTCTTGTAGTGACACACGTAGGCCACAATGTTATCTTCTTCTTTCTTAATAAAATCCACGTGAAAACAGAGGCAGAAAGTGTATATGAAATTAGGCCATGTTTTCTGGCCAGATTGACTGGATAAATAAAGCCCAGATAAGCTTATCTATCATCTCATTTGTTTTCTATCAACTTAGTCAAGTCTAGCAGTTATATGCTAATTAAGAAAAAACTTAGGAAGTCTCACAGGAATTTAGTCACAAACCATATTACCCTGCAGCATCTAGGCTAAAACAGCCATGGACATGTATAGAAGTACATTATTAAGCTCATGAGGATCTTCACAGGGCCTTGTAGGCTTTAGAGTCAAGAGCAAAGCAGATGTTTTGAGGATCTAACTTCTGCTATTAAGCAAATCAAGTGGCAGTTCAGGGCACAGGCCCTTTTACAAATCCAGTGCTAGACAACAATTCTAGTTGGATACATTAACAACTCCAGAAGAGACAAGTAGAGATTCTTGCTCTCTGTACAAGAATAACAGCACTTAGAAGCAAAGCACAGGAGTCCTAGGTTTTACTACAAAAATCTGCCTGTAAGCCTGATGTGTGAACTATACAAGTCAGTCCATCTCACAGGCTGGAGTGAGTCAGGTACTTAAGCAGATATCAGACTTGATGCAGACAGTTCTTTCTAGGTTAAACATGCAAAATTCAGTAGGACTCAGTGCACTAAATGGTTTTCCTTTGTTAATAGTGTTTGATCGAAAACTCACTCTGCTGAGTTGAAAACCTTCAACCTATATCAAAAGACTTCAGACAACGCTGCTAAAGAACTGCCCCACAAGAAACAGAACCCATATTTTTCTTGTAAGCTCCACATCTTGTAGCAGGTTCTTACTGCTAATGCCTGTGAATGAAGAAAAAGAAATCATTTTTATTTAATTAAAGGTATCTCACCTCCACTGCCTTGGCGACTTGTATGGGACAGCAAGCTTAAGCGCTTTTCTAATTGCAAAGCTTCATGAGCCAATCTTTCTTCTGAATAGGCTGGATTTGCACTTGGATCTTTAAATAGAAACAGAAAATAAATAAATAAATAAGTAAAGGAAAAAAACACAGAAATACATAAAAAAAGAGAGAAAGAAAAAAGACATTATGTTAGATAAGAATGTTAGATATTCTTACATTTGAAATGCTGATTGGAAGAATGTATGGGACAATCTGCCTTCAAGCACATCCTGTAGATGTGCTACACAATAAGTTAAAATTTGAAGTGCCAAAGATCTACAGATCTTATACCCAATGTCTGTAAGAGATACCACCAGGGACAGAACACAGAAGAGAACAGCACCAAAGGCAATAGCTACAGAGATAAACATTAGCATCCAGCAGGTCTAGAGGACTTGAAGCTAATTTGGCCTGTAAAATGTGTCCTGAATTCACTGAACTCATTGGGAATTTTAACATTGAGAAAGACCAAATTTTTTGTTCTACAAATTTACAAATCTACATCATAAAGTCAGAGTGATTAAATTCTGACACCTTCCAATCCAGTTCACCTAGATCACAAATACTTTGCTTTCAGGTTTGATGTTCAAAAAGCCATTAAGTTCAGAAATCAGGTTAAATAAGCAACCTGATGTCTCTCTGTCTTCATGTGCGAGACCACTCCTAAAAGGTACTATTTGGGATTTTCCCCATACAATTTAGTGAGTTTGCTATTCCAGCTAAAATTACTTCGCTAAAGAATGCTCATTCTATTCCAATTTAAAAGAAAGACCAGAAGTTACACGGAACATGGAAGAACTTTCATCAGTAAAACAGGCTGCTTTCCTCTAAATCATTTTGTTTCCAGCCAGGAACAACAATAAAAACAGGTATCAGAAGTAATCATAACCATTATCCCAAGAGAAACCTTACAGATTCCTGCAGATAGTTCTGACAAGTGTGCCATGTTCAGCAGTTGCAAAGGCTATGGTCTGCTGACTTGTTCAGCATCAGAAGATTCAGTAGTTCTTATGAATACATAGGTAAGTAAAGTAATTGACAACAGATAAAACAGATTATCTTCCTCACAACTGCTGCTCTTGTATATCTGATCAACTGGGTAGCAGTAGCACACCACAAAACCATTGAATCATTTAATAAGAGGGATAAAAAGGATGAAAAGGGCTGGCTATACATTGCTGTGATTGAGTTAGTAAGGCAAAACCAGTTGTAATGATGGAAGAACTGTTTCATTTTCATCCCAGGTCTCTTAGTTTTAAAAGACTTGGATTTGATGTTGTCAACACAGCAGCCAAAGCAAGTTCACAATCAGGGGAAGGAGCAGTGCCAGGTGAGCTGAGGCTCCATGGGATCTCCCTACATTATTAACTACCTGAAAAACACTTTCTGGTCTGCCCTGGATAGATCCAAGTGTATCACAGGAACAGAAGTGACAATGCTGAACTTTCTTTCCCATGTAGAGGAGATTTCCATCTTTAGCAGTCTGCAGTTTGGATAAGATTATCAGACAAAGCCAGACACACACAGTCCATCTATAACAACACGTCAGAAACCAAAGGTGTTCTAACAGGGACAAGACAATAACACCCATGACAAATAGGGTCTGTGACCTCTGCATCTCCCAGCTCAAAGAGTGCTTGACACCTTTCAAACTTGACTTGAAGAACAGAATATAGGACTGTTTGATATGGATTATTTTGTTAGGTCTCCATTCCTATTTAAACTGCAAGACAACTTGTATTAAGCACTGACTAGTTCAAACCTGTGCAACTGCTTACTCAAATGAAACCCTGAAGGCTTCCATATGGACCTCTGCCAAAGAAAAATACAAAATCTGGCCACCAGCACCTATGGCGCAACCCAGACATGTCCATGCAAGGATCTGCTCAGTAGCACACAGAGATACAAACTACTGCTTGAATCAATTTTTTAATGTCCTCTGCTCCATCTAGTTAAATGCCCTTATGGCCAAAATAGGTTCAACAAAGATGTTCTATGAGCACTTCGGTATAAAGTTGACATAGCAGATCAGCAAATTAGTCAAACCAGAGATGCAACAGACAGTAGCTTCAGATTCTTATACTAATATCATTATACTAATAATATACACTAATATTATAATACTATTATACTAATAAGCAGCAGAGACTACCAAGATCTAATGAGGAGATTTTGCTATAAGATCAGACTATGGACTTAAGCTACTTTTTAGAGACCAGTCCTTACTGAAGCACATAACCTATGACCTCCTGTCACATGAGTGTAGAATTATGGCCAAAAAACTGTAAAATGAGAGGGTTTTTTCAGCAGCAAAGTTGGATTTGTTGGCATCTTCCTATACCTTGTGTATGCCCAATACACAAACTCTAAATAACTGTGTGGCAATTTACCATACTAGTAACTCAGGCAGACAGAAGCAGCATGACCAGTACTGAGACAGCTGCCCAAGGAAGTTCAGATAGCTTCTGCCCACACAACATCCTACAATAGCTTCAACAGCTCTAAGAGCAATTAGTAGCTTCATTTCCCGAACTCTTAACAAATGTATCCTGTCATGTGATTTGCTCCTGCGAAATTTAGGCCATTAGATTCACTCAGATCCTTCAATTAATAAAATGTTTTAACATTTTCCAAACAAAAATGGATCCCTTGCTAAGAGTTAAAAAACTTTTGTGTGAGGCAGTCATTGAAATCTTCTTAAACATTGTTTTGGGTCAAAGTAGAATGATTACATCAAATGTAGCTGGACTAAAAATGCCTCTGATGGAGATTTTATTTTTGTAGTCCGTTGGTGAGGATTCATTAAAGCCACATCAGCTGCTCATTGTGGGAGATGTTGCATGCTTTGGTAATATATGAATAAAGCAACACAGTAATTCAAAGCTCCAGGGTAGTGCAATAAGCACCTGTCAGGAAAAAAATGTGCTGTATTCACTACCTAATTGATTATATGCATCTTTAAAATGTAATATTGGCTACTTACTCCATTAAACCAAATTAGGTAAGTTAGGCTGAACTAACTAACGTCCTTCCTTCCTTCCTTCCTCACTTCCTTCCGCCCATTGGTAAACCAGGCCTGGACCCTCACCTTCTTGCTAACATCTCAACCCCTTGTAAGATGTCTGGAGGAATGAGAAGATGTCCTACAAGTCTGAGGAGGATCCACTTGGTACAAATACTGCAGAAGGCAGCCACAGAGCTGTCTTGCAGTGGCCAAAAGTATCAAGCTTCAACAAAAAGAAAGAGCATCAGATAGATCCTCAGCAAGCAGCACTATACACATTCAGTCAGTCACAAAGGAGCCCCAAAAAAGCTTCCAAAATTAAAAGAGAGCATCAAGACTATCAACATTACGCCTGGGGTCTTTCCAGACTGCAGGACTAGACTGTCATATAGTCTTAGCCATATTTAGCAAATACTGGTCTGCCCACTGATCAGAGATATCACTGGTGGCTGTTGGGCCTTTGCTGTGTTCAGTTTGGCATTCAACATGAATCTTGCTAGTCAAAAGAAGGAATTCAAGACACACCTGATTAACAAACACTTCTCAAATAATATGCATGCAAATTCAGTATAGATTACAAACCATGCAATCACTGGTCCATTACTAAATCAATATCCAGACTTCTGTCAAGACAGAATGTAAAATTCTCTAATCTGATTTCTAAGTATCTTGTCAAGGAAAAAAAATGACACCATGCTAGTAGCCAATTACCTTCCAGCTAGTAGCTGGGGAAAACAAGCCATCCAAAGACATCTCATCAGTCACTTGAGTCCTTTATTTAAAATGTTACACTGCCTGAAAACATCTACAGATGCCTATACCTACACCACCATTGCATTCCCACTCAATGCCATATGTCTTCAGGCTTTGTTTATGAGACCTGGTCATGCAGCTTTTAACAAATCAAAACCTTCAACCTGCTAAAGGAGCTAGCAATAGGACTATTTTGGTACAATTTTGAAGACTTAGTGGACTCCCAAAACAAGTACCACAAGTAATAAAGTGTAGAATATCTATTATTCTTCTCCCTTTCCATTTTATTTTGGATGTACACATACTAAAATTATTTTTTATCATGAGAACATTAATTTGATACCCATTTCAAAAAAATCACACAATACAGGTTGGAGGGATCTCAGGAGCTCTTTAGTCTAACCTGCTGCTCAAGGCAGGTCTGCTATGAGAGATTAGACCAGATTGTGATACCTTGCAATGGTCAGTCAAATTTGTGAGTTCCACTGCACTGGATTTTCATTACATATTTTACAGATGACATAATAAAATACATAGAGAAATCATGTATCTCTGTGCTAAAAACAAATTCTTTTAAGAAATTAAGGTATACTTTTTAAAGCCACAACCCTGAAAAGCTGTGAATATTATCCCTGAGCAAATATCCCTTGCAGTTTACAAACTCCATTTAGATACTGTGTTTTAGGAATCACTGCAGCAAGTAAAAGTAAGAAAACCAGTCATTTTCCAGTTCTCTTCAAAGCAGTGTCTACCATTCCCAATTAATTTCATGCTAACACATAAATATTTCAGCATTCCTTTTAACCATATGGTTGAGGTGTTTGTACATGAAGCAATTGGCTTCATTCATTATTCTTTTTACAAAGAAACTACACAGATGTTGACTGCACAACATTACATTTGTGCACTGGGTGTTGGTGTCCAACACTGCCAATGTGACTTTTTCTACCATTTTACCTTCTCTCTCTGTACAAGGGCCCTTTGTGTGTTTTCCTTTCTTGAAAATACCAAACTGTTCTTCAAGCATATTTCACGCTTAAAATGGAAAAGGTACAAGCAACAGCAACAAGCCAAGTTCAAATAGCAAACTGTGGAGAGAAGGCTGATTCCTCTAAAAGCTTTTAAATTACACAAAAGCAGAACTTTGCATACATAAAGTACAGTTGATGCTGTGTAGCATTCTGCACTGCATAAGTATGAATAACATTGACTAGAGGTTTCTTGGTAGAAACCCCAGTCTGGAGTTTTGATCTAGTTACCTGAAGTGTGCAGGTGATTAATCTATTTAATAGCTAATCCTTTCAAAAGGTTGGGTGAATTTCAATACTTGAAATTCAGTATGCAGCTGGTAGACTTGGCCTTTTCAAACAATACAGTACATTCTGTGCAACAACACACTTGCTGAGGAAAATTAGTTTATGGATGAATCACTAGTATTGCACATGTGCATGTGCCTTAAACAGGTCTGTGCAAGCTTCTGCATGTGATAATAAAAGAAGAACATAAAAAATAATTTTTTTTCTATGAAGGGATGTGTACATAGGGAGTGACAACAAACTGGAAGAGACAAGGGTAAAGATACACAGAAATGAAAGTTAGAGAGGTCAAGGTAGCTTGGCTAAAGCAGGGAAGCCTGCAAAAACATGGGCACAGTTCCCTAGAAAACACTTCTCCTGTCCAGGGAAACAAGATGTAATCAGGTGGTTGAGTAGATCTTCACTTCATTTTAGTGGCACATCCATCATGCACAGAAGAGAAATTGGAAAGACCTCAGAAAAGAGGTCCACTCTTACAAAAAATACCAAATCATCTCCAGGATGTTCTACATCCTCCTGATGAACTTTGGTGAGGTCAGAGCTCTTACAGGAGGGAAGGGAATGTGTCTGTGGCTATGCACAACAACCCACAAATGCCAGAACCGATAGCTAAGATGTGAAAGCAGATTTACTCCTGCATGCCTCTAAGAAAGGATTCTTCAGATAATGTGCCATCTAAAATTAAAATTTCAAACAATATTTTTTTACAAAAATACAACAGAATAGTTGCTTGTAGACTTATTTTTTTCTGGACACAAATTTTTATTAAATGAAAGACTTTGGAGTTATATATATGTAATACAGTTTTAGATAAGCAGAAAAACATGTTCAATAGGAAAGCTTTAAATATCAGCACTAATTTTTGTGTTTATTTTGCTGGGGTTTAGTTGCTTAGGTTTTTTTAACCCTCTACTTAGTTGAATGTAAACACAGATCACCATGGAGGAAGAATTTTTTTTTGCCAACTATTCTTTTTGATTATTTAATTCAATTCAGTGTTAGAACTATGAGATAGCAAACATGAACTGAGCCTTTTTTATTGCATTTACTTTAACTTTTATAATTTAATTTCAAAAGCTTCACATCCAGATCTAATATTTTCCAGTACATTTCCTTCCTGAAATTATCTAAATCTTACAATAGCAATAAAGCCATGTCAAACACTTATTAACACTTACACAGAAACTCTCAGTATTTCCTACAAATCCCACCTCATCCTTCACCTATTCTCACTTATTCCACTTATCCCATTTATTCACCACTATTCCCACTTACAGCCTATTCCCACTGCCTTCCACTGCCAAGTCACGGATATTTTTCTGCAGTCTCATTTCTACACTTTTGTCCTGTTTGACAGTAATTCTGACTCAATATTGTACTCCATCTGCTGAAGTCAAAAGGCAATAGGGTTTACTATCACACCACCCAATTTCTTCTCTGAACGTCACAGTGCATGCAGCATTTACCATGAAATAGGAAAAGGAATTTAATCCTTGCACAGCAGAAAAGGACCTCAAACTGCAAAACTGAAATGTGATGTGAAGGCCTGACAATATTTTCTGAGGTTAACAAGACTTAGAACTTAGTGTTTTGGATGAAGTCAAAATGCTCTAGAAGTTAGTTCTCCATTAGACTATCAAAATAGCAATGCAGACATGGATCCAAGTTCAAACGTGTAAGTTTAAAACTAAACGTTAGGATTCCTTTCAGGTAAATTGCCATCTTTTAGTACTGTTAAATAAGAGAGAGCTAAAGTTAGCAATATCATCAGAAATATGAATAAGCCAGAGCAGCAGGGGGAAACTGGTTACATTCAACTTATAAATCTGTAGTGTGACATTTCGGAATGAAAACCACTTTGCACTCTCCACACCCTTAGTGTCTGCAAGCTGTTCTTACAACCACAGCAATAAGTGTGAGACATGGCAAGTTCCTACTTCGCTCCGTTACTCTATACTTCCTATATTAACCTGGTAGGACTGGACGCAAACCAAAAGGGCCTTTGGTCGGGGAGATGCCACGGACGATACAGTCGAACAGAAAGCTGATCTGCTCTCCTTCAGCACAAGAGAGGAAAAAGACACCAGCCCCTGCAAGAAAGCACAACATAAATATGTGGGTTTTACCTGGATACATTGGAAATATATTTAGCTGAAGCTATTTATAACATAGCAATCAAAGAGTATTAAGTGCAGGCCACAGGAAGTCAATGAGACATTCTCCAGGAAAAAGAAATAAAAAAATCAGGTCAGCACAATGCACTATATCACAAATTCCATAGCTACCTAAGAATTTATGATAATTTCCTGACATTCAGGAACTTAGAGTAATGTCATAGATTCATAGATTGGCTTGGATTGGAAGGGACCTTAAAGATCATCTAGTTCCAGCCACTCCCCGCAAATGACAAAATGGTAGCTTTATTCTCAACAGCTGTCCTGGTCTTTTATTCTTATTTACCACTAAAATTTTGCAGATGAAATGTTAGCTATGCAAGTGCCAGGGATACTAAGAGTTTATTCAACAAAATGAGCCAAGTTAATTCTACTTTTATCCAGTTTTAACCAAGAGGAATTTTTTATATGCCAACAAATTAGGATTTGGTTATATTGCTGGATTATAGTATAAATTTTCCTACACTAAGTCCTATGTGACTATTATTAACAGAATGTAACACAACTCCACAGGTTGTCATCAGATCTTTACCCTTTGCTCTATTCTGATATTTGCTTTCCATTCATTAAGAATAGCCCCAAGCAAAATTAGAATGAGAATCACTAAATAAACAAACAAGTTCTGAGCTACATGATATATGGCTACATGGACAACAGGAAAGACTAGAAGAGCTCCACAGAACATTTTATTTGAGAATTGTCAGTCCAAATATAAACCACATCAGCAAAATATAAATTATTATCTTAAAATTGCAAGCAAAAGACCATAGAAGTAACAAGCAATTTCAAGTAAAAAATACACCCAAAACAATAAGCAGACACAAAAGGAAATTAAATTAATATTTAGACCTTGAAGAAGTGCTGCCAGTTCACTAGAGTCATGCAGGATGGAAAACTAGAATACCAAACCTTAGATCTGCAGTGGGTTTTGCACGTTACTTTCCAAGGGACTTGAGCCCCTGACCTGAACATACATTTGGCTTCTGTATGTCTCTAGTGAATTCTGAGTTGCGTAAGTATTTTTGCCAATTTTACTCAAAGAAGGAGAGCTGATCTTGACCAGAATGACTGTATCCCCTCCACTTTCCACACATAAGCAATGGATACACTTTTGACAGTTTGACAAAGGGCAGTGGGATTCAAAGAAAGAGGATAATAAAGAATGGGCCACAAACCAAATTAACTATTTTACTAAATCAGATATAAGCAGCAAGCAGTAAACTGACCACTCTAGGAAAAGCGTATTCTGGTCCACACTCTTTTGTCATTCTCAATTATGCCACATCTAAGTCTCTGCCTGTTCTGCTTAAATCTATTCAAGATAACATTGTTAGCAGCATCTTTGTAACTGGATTTGTCACTCCACCACATTTGCATCTCTTCAGATGTTGCTGATCAAAAATTCTTCAGCCAAAGAAATATATACACACCCTGGCTTCAGGATCAGAGATTCATCTAGGATATTACAACACTAATCACACAGTCTGACAGGTATGAAGGTTTCTCGTGGTGACTCAGTCACAGTCTTGCCCCATTTTCTCTCCCAGAGGGATGCCAAAGTCAGATAACACAGAATTAGAAAAAAAACCAAAACTGGGTGCAAAGTATATATTCAGAAATTATCTGAAATTCAGCTTTTCCTTTGAGGTGACTTCTGCTTGCCTGCACAGAGTAGAGGGAATCTATGGAGATCAGTTTGCCTAATCTTGGATGATTAAGTCTGACTCTTCCCCCATGAATCACATCGATACCAGAAGCCTTTCTTGGGGGAGCAGGGCAACACAAGGCTTTGCTGGACTCTGAACACAACTTTCGTGTTCCATGCATAATAAGCAAGCAGGACGTAGAGACTACATAGCAGAGGATGTTCATGTCTCAAGCACAACGATACACTATGTGGCTTGATAATTCAGCAAAATCCTACACATCCATGTTGCCATTCAGGAAAAAAAAAAAAAGGAAAAGAGAGATTCCTCACATATTTCTGTATAAGAGTATATCAGGACCACTTTGTTCTTTTATCAGCATCGTCAAGAGCCACTTTAACTCCTGAGAGGTTCTACAAGACTTTCACTGTAATGGAATCAAACCAGTAAATGTACACATGAGAGCTGGCTGCTTAACTCAAACATTTATTTCTGCAAAGAACTATCACTCATTTGGAAATCCCAAAAGCAAATGTGATGACCTTTATATAACTAGTGCAAACTGTGTATGTCCATGTGCATGTGGATACGAATTCAACATACACACAAATACTTTTTTCTAGATTCTATTATTCACAGGAGCACCTTAATTGCTGATTAACTCTCACATGAAACATTTTCTTTCTTGTTTTGCTACATAGGACTAGATTGCAAGGGAAGGAAGAAGTCCAAGGGTCTTTGCAAAAGGCATCAAGTGAGGCTTAACTAAGTTATGTTTTAAAAGCATATATAGAAGTAAGAAATTACAGTTCTTTTCTGCTTTCCTAAGAAAGCTGAGAAATTCACTACTAGAAATTACACATCTAAGTCATGTGTTGGAACAGATTTGGTGCACAGGCATTTGGAAGCTGAGGAATATGTGGTATGCATCACTGTAATACCATGCAGCTGTTTACCAGAATGAAGGACTCACTCACTCTCTCCATGGGGTAAGAGACTTGGTGAAAAGCAGCTTGTAACCACTTGCACCAGGCTGAAACACTAAGCCAGTCCTCTGTGGCAGTACAACATTCAAGAGAAGTTGCCAATTTCATAAAACTTCCAAGTATTACCAAATCTTGTTAATGTTTGATTTTAATTCAGCATATTAAAAAGCAAACCCATGCACAAGCACCCTCAAAATGAACAACAGCCAAAAATTACCCTGATCTCCGTACTGTGTGTGTGAAAGTAGGAAGGAAGAGTCAGCCCCTTCCCATGAATTACTACTCTTAACAGGTGCCAGACAATGCTAGAGCCTGAAGTCATTTAGCTACAGGACAGGTATGAACTCAGGCAGTTCATTTCATGGCAATCAGCATGTTGTCCAACCAATATGTGTCAATCCTGGCCTTGAGCAAACCCCTTTAGAAGGCATCTCAGGCTGCTCTTCTCTCTGGGGAAAATGACAATGGGTGTTCCTACAGCTTAGTGGTGTCCCTAAGATAGGGACATGACTTCTAAAACTAAGGTAAGAATGGTTGTAGTCTCCAGTAGGCCTAAGTAGGAGACAGCACAGAACAACATCTGCATATAAACACAAGTTTTAATCTACACAACCCATGTGTACTGCTTCTAATTTTTTAATAAACGCAGAAGTAGAAAGAAAGAAATAAAGAAGTACTTAATTGCATCAAAACAACAAAATGACCACAGAAATACCCGTTTATCCTGCAATTAGCAGCAGCAGCAGCATTTGAAAGGGTGCTAAGGGTACTACTAACTCCTTTCTTCAAGGAGACACTGTCAGAAAACATAAGGCAGCTTTAAGCCAGGCTCTGGAAGCTAATCCTGAAGCACTTGAACATTGGAGAGCCTGAATTCTCACAGTGTTAATGTGCCCTTTTATTACCCTACTTAATTTTTTCACGTTGACCTCCAAGTCAAGACTCTCCTGGCAAATGGACATTTTAATTGGTGCACACCAATTGAGCTAACAACTTAGGAAAGCGAAAGGCTCCTTTTTTCCAGCCTGTTGCTCTATGTAAACCTCTCAACTTCTAGGCCCAGATGCCTGTGTTTTTTCGAAATGGTATGTGTAATTGAGCTTCAGCTGCAGAGAGCAAAATTTTGTCTCAGAGAATAACTTATTTGCAGCTGTCAGAAACAGAAAAAATTATTTTCTAATCTCTACAATTGCGATGTTAAAAGCAAGAAAACATTGAAATGTAAATGTTCTTTTTCCTCTTTATGAATAAATTCATGTTAAATCTTGAAATTAAATCTTGGAATTAAATCTTCATTAAATCTTGAAAATGCACCTGGCTTTAAGGTTTGAAATCTCAGCATTATCTCAGATGCTTTCCCTTTACCAAAGCCTTTGGAGTTGAACAAAACCTTCACTGAACAACGAATTCCAGAACACAATTAAGTATTTTATATTTATGAAAAAGTTTTGTGAGGAAACAAGGAACAGAAAGTTAAAGCTAATTCATATCCTCTTAGGCCTCATTTCTACCACAGATATATCCAAAAGTAAGCTCTGCTTCTGTGTAGGGCTTCATGGAGTTTGTTGTGGAGAGGAGAGGCAATCTAACCACAAGATCATCAGTTCCTTTCAATTAGGTATTTATTACAGTAGTAGTGAAACCTTATATTCACTAATCCTCTGCATTCAGAGCTCCACAGGAATAACGTGAGCAAAGATATGGTTTAACCTACAGGAAAGTAACATTAATAATAGAGGCTGCATAATCCTATATGGTGTTTCCATGACAAGGTAATGGAGAGTGCTTTTGTTTAGGAATCAAAACAACTTCTGTAATAACATATCAGGTTTTTTCCTGAAGGCTACTTGTTTGCCTACTCCTCAAGAGTTCCAGAGGACTGAGGTAAAAGAGTCAGGTACGTGAACAAAGATGATCTTTCTCTTTACCAACACTCCTCTGTCAAGAATAACCAGAGTTATATTTTTATTTAGGTTCTATTTTAGAAAAGCATGTTCTTCTAGTGGCAATATTAAATCAAATGTTTAGACTAAACACATATTTAAATGTTGTAATGCTCGTTTAAGTGCTCAGTTAAGGGCATCAGCTAATTTAGCAATATAAGTTTGAATTTGTAAGGAGTTTCCAACTGTGGCAGGCTATTTTGTACCAAAATGATTATACTGTTCTTCTCTTTGAATGCACACATGCAGGGGAAAGGCAAAAACACCTTTTCATGGCAACTGAAATGTCTCAGCTACCAAGACAGACATTTCTTAAAAATGATCAACGAAGTAGTGGGACCCTTTTCAAAGCATTTATCTAATTCTGATCATCTGTAACATTAAAAAAAAAAATAAATCTTAATTCATACCTAAAAAAGCAGGTATACAGGAGAGGTACTGATGAGCTCCTGTATTCTACCAGAAACCAGTGTAAGTTTAAGGCAGCAAAAAACAGCACCATAGGTAATTCAGGTTCCATCACCTACAGTTCCACATTTCACAGAAACAATTAGGTTGGAAAAGATCTCTGAGATCATTGAGTCCAACCTTTGACCAGACACCACCATGTCAACTAGACCATGGCACTAAGTGCCATGTCCAGTCTTTTCTGAAATACCTCCAGGGATGTTGACCCCATCATCTCCCCAAAGTAAGCCCAAATCAGTTTAAATTCTTGGAGCACAGCAATTACATCAGATCTAAAACAAGCTACAGAAGAAATGTCACAGTTTAACTAAATAATGTAAATCAGGGACTATATAAATATATATGCCCCAATATTTCTGGGCTTTCTTATATAAGTAATATCTAAGCTTGGAAACTAAGCATTTAAGTGTAGGAGCAGGGACCACCATCTAGGGTCTGTCCCTTGCAGTTGTGCTTCCAGACTCAAGGCTATAGACACATACTCAGTTTTTCTCCTGATCTGAGTGACATTTGCACACCTGTTTACACAGGGAGGCAACTTCTTGGCCTTTCTGTGGACACCAACCATTCCTCAGGAAGGAAACAAAGACTTGAAGGTCTGCAGATTGAAGGAGGCCAGGAACCTGGGTTTTCCACTCCATAGAAGGCAACCAGAAGGAACATGCAGAGCAACAGTATGCATGCCCCAAGAAAGAATATATTTGGATTTGGATCAGCTCTGAAACCTTCTAATTTTTAAGTCTGGTAGTTGAAGAAATCCATTATTTTCACATTTCAGTATGCAACGCAAACAACTCCACATCCAAACTGGTGATCTGCTTACCCACTTGCACTCATTGATTATCAGTTCAGCATGGCTTCAAACTCTGATTTTAAAGTCAAACTTTTATGATTTCTAATTATATTATACCAGTGAATTAATTATCTTTCTTTTTCAGCTCTTGCACAGGAACTCTGCATTTTATTTGAAGTGAGAATTTGAGAAGTTCTAAACTGGACATTGGAACAAGAGGTTTCCTCTCCATCTAAAGGTGCATCTTGGCTACTAGGCTACAGAAACTAGCTTCAGCTTGCTTGCTTTCATTTTGACCCCATAAATCTCATGGTCCCATAAAGTTACAAAGCTACTAACATGAAAGGGACCAGAGAGTTGTTTCTAACTTTTAGGAGCTGAAAATTCCCCACAGGATTTATACAGATTAAACCATTTTGCCTTGTCTCTTGCATGACACAAGCCATAAAATTTAATTACCTTATTTTTGCTGTGCTCAACAGCAACTTTTGACTAAACATCTTGTGGAGAGCCAGGGTAATGTTCAGTCAGGACTCAGTCACATTTTTACTGAACACCAGGGTTTAAGTCTGCAGAAATCTACTCAGAACAGACCCTCTGATATGAGGTTGCCTGTATGACAAAACAACCCAACTGGTTCTGCACTTCGAATGAGACTAGCATTTACATTTCTACAAAAGGTATCAAACAACATTTAGAAGACAGGTTCCATCTGTACTTACAGAAGCCACACCTGGTACCCCCTTCAAAGATGAATCCATTTGGGACAGCTCCATACCGACGCAGATCTGAGAGCTTCCACTGCCCCATGACACTGGGAGGAAGGTCTTTTGCAAGGACGAGAATGTCATTGCAGAAATGCAGGGTAGCAGGCCCACTCTCTAGTTTAGTGCCAGGTGCTACAAAGACTTGAAATCTATGAACTATCAAATAAAGAAGAAAACAAAATTACTATAGAATATACAAGTAAGGTACTATGACTTACGTTACGTAACTCATTCTGTTCAGCTGTGGTACTTGGCCCAACGCCTGCTCACACCATGACTCTCGAGTAAAAAGATTCTACATGGAGCCCAGACAGCCTCATGTAAGTAGGTGTAAACTCATTACTCTCTATTATGCCAGTTTAGGATTGCGAAAAACCACCATATCTTTAGTTAATGCTACAAATTATTGAAGTCGTAATGGCACATTAATTTAGCCTAAATCTTCCAGGCTGCTCCCCATCTCAGATTAGTCAGTTGTTCAGCCCACACATCAGTTACCTTTTCCATCCTTGCAACACTACATGGGTTTCTTTCTGTCTCCTCTAAATAATCCATGTGTCTCCTTTCCTGCATGCATGCACACAAATAACACAGTGCTCAAGGAGCCCAAAAGCCAAGGCTTAAAGAATGAGGCAAGTTCTAACCAGACCTCTGCCACTGACTCATTTGCAACCTTTAATAAACTGCTTCACTCCTTCCCTAGCAGTAAAACAGGGAAAATTACATTTTTCCACCTTTGTGATTCTTTTGGGAATTGGTGATGGAAGATTCCCAGACATTTAAACTGACTAGGAGATTAAGTGATTCATAGGTAATAAACACTTTTAGATGACAGTTAATTCTTCATATCTCACAGTCTAAACTTCAAAAAAGTAGAGAGGGGGAAAAAAGAAACACCTATCTCATTCATATTTACAAAATTCAGGTTCAAATCCAAACACCAGTATCCCACATATTGCAAGGCCCTTACCTAAAGTAGCCGTTGTTCTAGGCTGGTCTCCCACTTTCTTGTCCAAAGCTATTGCATTCTGAATAACAAGTGATTGGGATCACTTCATGTTTGGACCTCCACTACTCCTCTAGTTTCTTTTATATTGTGATTAGACACAAGAAAAACCCATCAAACAACAAAACAAACAAAAACAATACCATACCCCCCCAAAAAACCCCAACCTAAAACAAAAAAAACCAAAACAAAACCAAAAAAAACCCACAACCACCTGTGTTGGTAGAGGGAAGCATGTTATATTTCTGGGCAGAGGGTTTTGGTGGAATGTTTATCAATAAGCACATAGATTTAACTTTTGGTTGTGCAGCAAAGATCATTCAAACAGCTACCTGCCTATGAAATCTACAGGGTAACTTCCACATAATCTCACTTATTACAACCACTCTTCCTTGTTTCTTGCCCACGGTTCTTCAAGCATCATGAATTTCATCTAGGTCTGAGTCTTGCTTCTCATCTAACTACTTGCTATATTCTTAGTTACGATCTGAGCTGTAAGTCAACTCCTCATCTATGACATGCATTTGGTAAGTTCCCTAAGGCTCCAGCAGAATTAGCCACAAAGTCATTCCAGTGAAATGTGCAAGGGGACAGAGATAGATCTAACTAACCACAGCTCTACTTACAGCTCTGCCAGTAGTACTGCTAGGGAGCAAATCAATAGTCACACGATGTCCCCTTTTGGGCACGCAGTTGTTATGCAACCTGCTTAAACATAAACTATGAAAAAGACAGCAAATCCATCATGATGAATAAAGTTCAGTACGGAATCTTTAATGTCATTTGCGCCCCTCTGCTCAGTTAAATCTGCCCAGTACTTTGCTGGCAACTAAACTGTAGGAGCAGAAGCATCTCTATGCTTCATAAATGAGGAATGGAGCACATTCTTCACACAATCAGTTGCAAGTTACAACAGCTGCTGAAAACAAAGAGCTCCAGCTCAAATTCTAGACCACTGTCAAAAAATAGCATATCCAAATCTGAGCAAAGCCAAAGTAGATGAAAAAGCATAGCTGAAAGTGAAGGTTTTGCTGTATGCAGCTTTCTTGGTAAACTGGATTTTTTTCAAAATTCTTCCCAGCCACTGACTTCTACTCTAGGAAAAAAAATTTTATGAAGACAAAGAGCTGAGTATACTCAAAAGGTACTACTTAAATTCATTGTTTTCTTCAGCCAGTCTTTTCCTCTTCATAGCTCTTCAATGACCTGCAGTATGCTAACTTCTCAGAATGAGCTGTGGGTTCAAGCACTCTTCTCACATTTGACCTATACCTCAACTCACTTAATACCACTGTTTTCTCTAATCCAGATTCTTTTCGTGCAGGAATTACATCCACCTCTTCTGTTAAAACTTAAGAGAAGACATTGGGAACTCCAGTGCAAATGCCTCCAATTCTGTGGTCTTCATTCAAGAACAGTGTCAACTCCTTTCACTTTTTTTTTTTTTTTTGCTTCCCAGACTCTGAGGTCATCTGTCCCAGCCTATTTTTATCATCCAGCCACCTTACTTTCAAGGCACACAAAGACACCCTTACTGCACTTTAAGAAAAGACACCAGTCACCATCCTCTCTTCATCTTAATCTCCTCTCTTTTCTATTTCTGTCTACTCAAAACTAGATTCACTGTAATTTGACTTCTTTCTCCTAACTGAACCTGCACAGAAAGATAAAATCCTGAAAAAAATTTCTATGCTATGGTCTATCCTCCTTGCCCTAAGCTTTTTTTCAATTAACTTTCTACAAATTATTGCTAGATTAACCAATTATACTTGTTTACTTCTGCATTCTTTACCCACACACATATTCTCTCCCACTCCACCTTTACTCCATGGCTGCACATCATCATGCAATAGGCTCATTCACAGCTTTCCTTGAAAAACACTCTTTGCTACTTCTGCATTTCCTCCAATCACAACCATAACTCTCATACCCAGATTGAGATCAAATACTCTTTTCATCCCAGCACTGTATCAATGCAAGATTATAAAAAACAGATCTACCCTATGAAATTCAAATTCTCCTTCAGGTTTTAGGACAAGTGCCTTGTATATATAGATCCCAAAGTCTAGTAAAAAAATAAAACTGGAAGACAGCACAGCTGTATCATCGAAGTGTACCCACTACTCCAGCTACTCATGCTTGTTTTATTGAGAAACCTCCTCTAACCTTTCCTGTTATGCAAAGCTTCATATTTGATAGCTCTGAGAAGTACATCCATACATCTCTCTTCTGATACTTCTACATTTTTTTACTGCAAAATTCCCAGGCCATCTTTCTACATATGTACTGCAAACAAACGAGCCCACAAACCCAACAGATGGCAGAGCATATGTAACAAATGACAAAGATGGCTAATGTGTGTCTCCCACACACCTACCCTTCTTCCCTAGTTATGACTAAACAAACATAAGACAGATACTATGGATTACCAACATTATCACTCTTTGTTCACCACTGTATGTTTTAGAGCTGCTAACCAAGAAAATAAAAGGATGCAGAAAAGTGAAGTTAGCTGGAAAGAATATGTCTGATTATACTCCTTATTGCAAGAAGCCTCTCCCTGAAATGGGGCACTAGCAAAACCTAGCAGGCAGCTCAGCAAACTGAGTCTGAACTAGTCAAGCTCTTCTCAGGACTCTGAATCTCTTAATTCAGGCTCCCTCTGAATACTGTTGCCAAAAGCCCCAAATAAATTGCCTGACCAGAAATAGAGGTCTGATCATTTTGTTTCAAAGCTATACACTGTCAGGGCTAAAATGAAAAATCTAAGAGCTCTCATACTTATCCATCACCACAGGCACATACTGTAGATGAAACCTATCATAAGGGACACCTGTTTTAAGGTCTAAGGGGAAGACCAGTCTCTTCACTCTCAAATGAGTGATGGTCTTTTCCTGAACTGTACTTTTAATTTGCATTTTAGCTTTGCTTTTTTATGATTGTTTGCCCCGTGGAGGGAAAAAATGAAAAAAAAAAAAAAGTGAGAAAACAAATATTACCTTCCCCCAAACTGTAGCGGATTCGTACATCCCAAGCATACATTGTTTCCTTGTTCTCAAATCCCAGCATCACAACTTGAGAGAGGCAGATGATTGCAAGCGTGTGATTCAAGCCCTCATAGGAGAGCCCAGGATCCAAGCCACAGATGTCTTCTAAGGTCATGCTGCTCCTCTCCTTATGCCCTTTTGCTCGTTCAGATTTATCCTTGTACACCAGCATGAGCAAACAATCTAAAAGAAGCAAAACTGTCAGAGATGATGAGGCAGAACATAGACCATTTCTCAGCATTCTGCTGCAATACAAAGGTACTTTAGACAACTGCACGGTCAGCCTGATCAAGTCAGTGTCAGAACTCCTATTCCTTTTCCCACCCCATCCCCAGGTAGTTTGCAGTCCTTGTTTTCAGGAAGCAAACATTGAAGGCATGTTCCAAGGGTAATCTGCAGGCTCAGAAATAAGGAAGCCAGTAATAAGTCTTCCCTCATCAAAGTCCAGTGGCTTTTCAGATACTCTCCCGAGTCTGGCAGGGACTGACTCATTAACTCTAAACGTTAGGGGTTATGCTATGATAGCTGTTCACATTACAAACTCTAAAGACTGAGAGGCTATTGTCATATGTATTTCCATGAGAACATACTGAACCACAAATGAAATTCTTACAGTACTTCGCAGATTACCCAACTACTAAATGGCGAGCAGACTGCACTGCCAGATTGTTAGTGTCAGCTCAGGTTTCCCAGTTAAATGTTACACAGTAGCCATTGCTAAAAATCATTATGTGCCACACCTTTTTCTAGTTATTAATTTTAATATTTGCTTGTGTCACCATGTATTTTTAACCCCTTCCTAGAGGTGTTTATTACACAGCAACCATGCAACAGAAGAATGCGATTCAAGTGCCACAGTCCCAATGGGAAAAATCACATTTTACAAGCAAACCCAAAAGATACGAAAAAAAAAGGGTAACCTCTCCCACATATGACAGAGGCAGCCCTCTTTCCCCCAGGTTCCCTTCCCTATCACACAGCACTCAGTTGTAAATGAAATTAGTAGTCAATAACAATGCCACAACATCCACAGCTTAAGCTGAGCTCCATACTACAAAGGCGAAAGTTAAGCTCCATACCACCAAAAGAGAATTAATTTTATGAATGCTGGGGTGTAGTGCTCTGAGTCCTAGTGAGCTGCCCTGCAGCTCTCAGCCAAGGACTGGCAAACCTCCAAAGGGATGAAAAATGACTGAAAGACTGAACTGTCTGCTAACTGACATGAAGATTTGCATGGACCCCCCAATTGTCTTTGTGCACCTGTTAGCAAAACCAGCTGCAACCACAATGTTTAAGCATTCTGCAATACAGTTGTGCACGTGAAGAAAGAAGAACTGTGGTTTACGTGCCAAGAAAAGCAAATCACTTGTGCCTTTTTTTTTAGTAAATCTGGGTAATTTAGCTAGAATAAAAAATACTGGTTTTGAGGAACAAGCTGCATTATCAGCCAGGCTTCCTCATCTAACCCCTTTAAACTTGGCTTACTCACATTAGAAATCGAGGCCCATATACATGTGTTTAGATAGCAGCTCTAGAATTAACAGATGCCCTTTCACGTAGGGAAATTTAACAGATTCAGATGAGATTTAGGTATTTAAGACACTAAGAAATTACTGTAACAACCTAGGCAACAAAGAACTAGGTCTGAAGAGCTTCAATTACTAAGAAACCTTTAGTCTACCAGCAACAGCCTAGGAAAGATGCCATAATCCATTCTACAGCAATGCAGATTCGCATTTTCTACGTGCAGGCAACATTTAGCCCTGGAAATACAAACTTTTGGGCCTAAATGTTTTCCCTGTTGCAAATAAATGGGAAAACCTGAACCCTCTTTTTCTCTCCACAGAAGCAAAACATCAGCTCCTCGCAACATTTTCCACTTCCCCTTCAGAAGGATGGAAACGATTTCTTTTTCTTCTTAATTCCAAATGTCATTTTATTTTTAAATCGAAGCGATATTTTCTGTCAAAACACTGCTCAAAAATAACTACCAAGCTTACAATGCCAGGGTTGGAGGAGGGTGGGTTTACAGCCAGCAATCACCCTGAAGAAATAATATTAAAAATAAATTTGCATATCAAACGGGCACCAAACCCAACGGTTATGCCATGGAAAGTTACTTTCCCCGGTGGTGTTAGTCAGAGTTTGGTTTGAAGCGGTGCAGACAGGACAGGAGTGCAGGACGCTCCGGGAGAGCCGCCCGGGGCTGTCCCCGACGGCAGCGCAGCCGGCAGAGCCCTGCGAGCTCCCGGGGCTCCGAGCCCCGACCCCAGCGCCGGGAGGAGGAGGGAGGGACACCCCAGCCCTGCTGCCCCTCTTA